GGTGCAAGAATCTTTCTTTAACTTGCCTGCCTCGCTTAAGCAACAAATCGGCTAATCTAGTAAAACTTAGTCAGACTGATTACCCCTATCGGTTGCTATCTTGAGAAAGAGTGACTCTGAGCAAGGTAGCAGAGCAGCTTCAGGGTTGCTTAGATTGCCTGGGCTATTTCAGGTTATTAGAACGGCTACATGCAGTATTTTACTAAAAATACAAAATCTGAAAAACACTGTGTTGGTATACTCTTTTATTGTGCATGCCATGCTCAAGTGTCAAATATAACGTTAAGTACTAAGCGATTTTTGACTGTAGGCATGTGGTAGGAATTCAGTGCATTTTATGTTCCAATTTATGACCAGAAATGAAAAAGGATTTCTAATATTTTATTAGGCCAATTCTGGCCACTGTAGAGCTTTTGCCTTTAATTATACAGCTAATTTAGTAAGAATACGGGATTTAAAAAAAAGGGAGAGCGTGGATAAAAAAAAAAGAGAGAAGGTAGAAATTGTTGTCCTTTGAGTGTCTTCAGAACAAGGACCAAAGAACTTGTAAAATACAACTCCATAATTAGCATAGGTTGTCCCTGGTATTTAGGAACAGACATTGAAGAGCACAGTTAGGTTGCCTTTATCTGAAGGTCCAGGTAGAACATAACAATGCAGATCTGATCCCATGTGAAACTGTTTGGTTATTAGTTTTACCTCTAAGGCTACAGGTAGTCAGAGTTCACAAGATAATTTGAAAGCCTTAAGAGATCTCCTAGCAGGCTTGTTTGTGCTGTTGCACAACTTACATCATCTCAGTTGGCGAAGTGTAATCCTTCTTTCTTTTTTTTTTTTTCTCCCCTCCCCCATCTTCATCCAGCACTGAGGAATTAAATCAGAACAGTATCCTTCTCCTTTCCCTAATTTTTTTAGGTTTCGTATTTTCAATCACTCTGGGCTTTTCATTTTTTCTCTGCTGTATAAATCCTTGGGGTTAAAACACAGGTTGTTATCGACGTGATTTTGATTGTGATACAGAAAAGCTAATAAAAAACAATACTGGCAGTCTGTTCGTGAATGGATTTGCTGTGCTTTAATCTTCAAAACCACAACTTTTTTTTTTTTATTCTTAGTAGCAGTAGTAAAAATAAATAGTTTTTCATAAAGTGTTTCCTGGTTCTGATTTGTTGCCTTCCTCTGTTTGTGAATAAAAACCGAGTAGGTCAAGCCTTTATTTGGAAGCATGGATGGCAACTTCTGGTTAAAGTAATTGAGCTTTTAGTTTTGAAAATCAGTACTCTTTCCTCTCTAGAATTCAGATATTGCTATGGCAACTATATTTTAACTCTTCACAATCATGTTGGTCAACTACAGTTGTCTTAAGTTTAACGTGGGGGTGATGGGATGAAAAGAGGGCTGGAAATTATGCTGATGCCACATAAAACAGTAATTTTCAAACAATTGTGTTATACCATATGGAGCCTTTTCCAGAAAATTGTAAAACAGAGCACTGAGAATCATCTTTGAGGAAGTACCAGTGGGTGTTCTGTAGAAGGAACTTATAAATGGTGTGCATAAAATGAACTTGCAGGAATTTCTTTTCTAAATCTCACTTAGGAAGATACTATTGAGTTTCGCTTAGAGTAACTCAGTTCCTGGTGGGGTTTTTTGTGGTCTCTCTCAAAGCATGTATTGTTTATGTTAAAGGTGGTGTAGTATTGCTCTGCTCATACTGTCTGGTGTATTTTGTATCTATACAAACTCCAGCTGACTTGGCTTTGGCTAATGCTCTTGTGTACTTATTTAGGGGAAACGAGCTACCCACTTTGAACAGGTCTGCTAGAAACTTAATGCTGTGATGACACTTTGTCATCTTTTGTTGTAAAAGTATTGTTTGTTTCCCTTGCTCTGTGTATTTATCTGCCTGTAAAGAGCCTGCTGAAGAAAGGGTCCTTTTTCTCTTAATTTTTTTGAAAAAGCATGAGTATAGCAGTTACTGCTGTTAAAGGATGATGTTCCCTAGGAATGTTTGGTTGTTTCCCTTGTCTCTACCAGCTTCTTTCCATTATCATTTGAAGTATAATTGATCCTTGAGCAGGAGCTTAGGTGCTAAATCCTCTCCTTGCACTGTGTTCTCTTCTAGTACTGTAACATCGCTTTAGCCCTGGTTTTGGCTTCTGGTATTTTCTAGACCCTTTGAATAAACCAGGGACTTTCTTGGTATAGCATAGGAAACTGTGAATCAGCTAAATTAAGTTAGCTTTTGTTTTGCACGTTGTTCAGCATGGGTGTAAACCATGTATCTAAGCGTAAAATTATCATGCTACGTATTAGATTGGGGGAAAGGGGGCAAGATACAAAGAGACTGTATCCCACCTCCATTTTTTTCAGAATTTAAGGTACTTACGTTTCAGTTTTCATCCAAATCAGGTTTCATAGCTGGGTTTTTGGGGTTTTTTGGTTTTTTTTTCATTTTCTACTACCTTCATGACTAGAAAACCATTCATTAGTGGCAGTTTTATTTTGGAAGTAGCAATGAAGAGATTGCTTAAGTTTGTTGCGTGATGATGTTGTGAATTTAATTCCCAGTAACGCAACGTGAACTATTGTGTCACATGAATACACTTAAAGTCCTTCAGCTTTCTGATTGTCTTTGACACCTTTCATAAATGCTTCATTACCATTGCAGATGAAAATGTTCCCTGTTGGCAGTCAGGCTACGCAGCATAATTTAACATATGATTAAACTCCTCAAAACTGTTACAAACTTAACTCAGTATAAATCAAACAAATAGTCCTTTACAGTTGTATGTCATGAGTGAAGTTGTCATGTTTAGGTAGTTCTTAATTTTCTCAGCACAAATAATCATTTTGTTTCTAAAGTTGTGAGTATGTGCATATGGCCAGGGTGCACTGCCCTAGAGACTGCATATGCACTAGTGACAAACTTGAACAGCTGTTATACTGAATCTTAGACTTTGGTATTGTACTGCTTTTTTAAAAAAAGAGGGGGGAGAAAGCATTATAGTAGAAATTCTTGTGACCTGTGAAGGACTACAAAAGTACCATTTGGATAATCCAGATTATTTGCTGAGATTACTCTGTTAATGTATTCTGGGGGACCGGAGAAAAACAAACAGTACCCCAGACAGCGTAACCACTAAAAACTTTTTTACAAGCTAAAAAATGTGGTATCATGACGTAAGGCAGACATTGGTATGTCAGATTATATTTTTCTTTCCTAAATTGGATGTTAAGCACGTTGGAAGCTCAGTAGGAGCTAGGAGATTCTGCCTCTGAGAAGTGATCTGCAATGGATTGTTGCATGATAATATGCCTTTGTGTGAGGCAGTGACCCCCTAAACCTTCGGAAAACAAAAGAAAAAGCGATGCCTGAATCACATGTTGCTGTGCGGTGGTTTTAATGACTTCCAACTTTGCTATAAGGAAAAGCTATTACTATTTGTGTAATAGCTACTGAAGTGTTGTATTTAGCTAGCCTAGCAGAATATGGTAGACTGTATGATTTTGGTTTACTTTAATACACTAATTCTAAGATACATTAGTCTGGTTGCTGCTACATAAGCAGCAGAGTTGTCTGTGCGTTGAGGTTAGCAAGAAAACTAGAGTGGGTGCTGACCACCATGATTTAAGATAAGGATTAAGATAACTGATGGAAAAACAAGCTGTGGCAGTTGATGCTTCTCTCCTAATGCTGTTCCAGTGCCTTGCAGCGTTACCTTTAAAATCTGCCCATGTGTAACCTTTGTACTGTGAGTTGCTGATACTTAAAGAATTTTTGTGCTTGAGTATGGGCTTCAAACTGCAGTCCTGAAAAATATTGTGGGAAAAGGTCTGTATCTTTGTATGGCATTTTTGTACTGTAGAATGTGATATTTCTAGGAGAAAAGCAGCATCAAAGAAAACACAGTGTCTCAGTAAAAAGTAAGCCTCATGAGCATGACGTTGAAATATTTTTTGACAATGTGATTGGAGAAGATTTCAGAGCTAGACTTAGTACTTGTAAAAATATTGTGAATGTCTGCTGATCATGATGATTAAATTGTTATAGGACAAATTGCTGTAGAACAGCAAGGGTGAGGGGACTCGAATTTTCAGTTGGGGTCTAGATTATGTTATAGTTTCACCGAGTACTGTTGAAGCTTTTGGTCCAGTTACTGCCAGACATTGAGGTGCTCAGATAATCTTCCAATTTTTCTGTATTTGATCATTGTCTCATTTTCTTCTCGACGTGACTTTGAAATTATTTTGTGAGAGAGCTCAGGTTTCATGTCTTGTGGAAAAAAAAGTGCGTATTCCTTGCACTTTTGCCATTTCCTATGCTGATTTTGAAGAGATTGAAATCTTGGGTTTGGGGTTTTGTGTTGGTTTGTTGTTGGTTTTTTTTTCAGAAAAATATTTCCAAGGACACTTAACTCTGTGAAGTTCAGGATATTGATTTTTTTTTTTTAAAGCTTTTTCAGTATATTATAGGAAATACTAAACAAAAGAGTAGTATAAGACAATGTGAGTAAACCAGGTCTTTAATAGCTCTCGCTTCTTTGAAATACAGGACCACTTTTCTCCTTAAAAGTACCGTTCCAACTGTTAGTACCTTTATAATTACCTTTACAAGTACATTTACTTACAGCAGGCTGTCGATACGGGGGAGGGGGGGGAATGAAGAGAAAAACCTCCCAAACTTGTACTGTTTTGACCATCTCAATTACTAGCAAAATACATAGAAATTACAATAGTGCACTAATGACGAGTACCGTAATTATTTGTATGGTCATGTGTGCCATAAGGAGTACTACTGGAATTTCTTTTTCTTCTGGAAATAGTCTTTTAATGTTGGTTTTTTTATTGTAATCTATCTTCAGTCTTTTAAGGATGTACAGCATTGCAGGATCAGGGTTCTTAAGGGAAATAGAATTAACTGTGGTTTGTTTTTTTTTTTTTTTGGTTGGTTTTTCTTTTAATTGAAGCTAAATAGATTTTTCTTTCTTTAGCTTAGGGCAATAAATGTAGATCTCCAGACTGATGCTGCTCTGCAAGTGGATATCTCAGATGCACTCAGTGAGAGGGACAAAGTGAAATTCACTGTCCATACAAAGGTAAAAGCCTGTGTTTGTACACTGAATGCTTTCTTAATTATACAGAAAAGAAAGTTTGCTTAAACTGTTTATTGAAACAAGTGCAACACTATCCGAAGGAAATGAGAAAGTAGCATTATCTCATGTTTAAGAGACTGTGTATCTGCAGTGTGAAAGAAAAAAACAGCTAAAAAGTTAAGGAATGAAAAAACTGTTTAGAAGAAAGTAATGTTCATTGGTTTTGTACTGATGTGTTGTCATGCATTCCCATGCTTATTTGTTGGCCTATTTGGAGGTAGAATCAATACACCTCAATATTCTTCAGTATAGTTTTTTTATTAGATTAGCTGTGGTTTCAGATTCTAAAAATATATTTCATAGCAGAATTACATTCAAGAATCATTTTTAGTTACTGCTTGTTTATGGTCTTTTCTCTTCTTTTCTTTTCTTTATTGATTGCAGAATCACAGAATTGTTGAGGTTAAATAACAATTCTGGAGATCATTTAGTCCCATCTCTTCCCTCACTCCCACCATTAAATCAGGGTGGAGCAGAGCACATTGCTCAGGACTTGTCCATTTGGGGTTTGAACATCTGCAGGGGCAGAGACTCTGCAGCCTCTTTGAGCAACCTATTCCAATTGATTGCTGTACTAATTAAGATGGGGTAATTATTGCTGTATGAACTTCTTTTGTCAAATCCTTGCTTGGATGATTAGATTATTTTTACAGGGCTATTTTTGTTGTTCCTTCAAGGTGTTTTTCATATAGTAATGAAAAACATTTTGGGTTTGGGTTTTTTTTTTGTGGAGGGGTTTTGTTTTGGTGTTTTTTTCCGTTGGGTTGTGTCATTTGTTGTTTTGTTTTTGGTTTTTTTTTTTCCATGATTCTTCCTCCTTTTCCCCTTCTAGAGTTCCTTACCGAATTTCAAACAAAATGAATTTTCTGTTGTCCGGCAACATGAAGAGTTTATTTGGCTTCATGATTCTTTTGTTGAGAATGAGGACTATGCTGGCTATATTGTAAGTATTATGGTTCTTTTGGTTTATGTGCACTGCTTTCTGTGGAGTGTATCAAAAGTACTTGCAACTGCTTTTAAATGCAATGGAAACGGCAGATGTTCATTCCTTCTAAAATCAGATCAGATGCTCTAATGGTTCATTTTATGCAATTATACACAATTAATGGTTGAAGCAAGCTTGGACGAAAGTTACTGTAGTTGTCATGCTTTCTTGCCTTTCACTCCTGAGGATTGAGTAGTTTAATCTGTATCCAAGTGTGTTTTTTAGTCCACCTTGTTAAAAGTGTGGGAGATAGGTGAACTGTATAACTTGGTGGTATTGTTTTTCAAGCTAATGTTTAACGTAGTTACAAGTTTCATGTTGCTTTTGTTTTAGCTGGAATGGCAGAATGCAGTAACTGAGCTCTAGTAATTAGACTTTTCCAGTTTTCATTGTGAAGATCAGAATCATTTTACCATAAATCAGTTGGAGGGAAAAAACCCCAACGCAAATACCATCTCAAACTACAGAGAACCTTAATACACAACTTAACAACTTACGTTTTGAAGTTTATTTCAGGCCTCCAGGGAACAGAGGTCCCAAAATAGTCATCTTACAATACTGCCTATTAAAAATGTGTGCTGCTTTTCATACTTTAATTGCAAATAGGAATATTTGTCATCTTGGTGTGAAAGTTAGGTGTTCATTTTGTGTATGGGGGGGGGCATGTCTACCGATTCAGAAGGTAAACATATTTCTAATTGACTAGTGGGTACATTATGATGAATATAATCTGTGATGTGTCATACCATTTTTGAGCTAGTCTTTTTTTTTTTGTCAGAAAAACTAAAGTGACTAGACTTTCAGTGTGGTAATAATTGGTTTCAGACAGTTGACTGTGTCGATGCTGGATTTTTCTTTTTTGTAATGCATTAATGGGCAAATATCAGTGAACTAAAATTGAAGTATAGTTTAGCTTTGTACTGTGTCCCTTTAGCGATAGCAATTTGGGATTAGTTTGCGATGTTTTCTCTTTCGATCTTAATGTACTTCATTACAAGATTAACCTAGAAACTTGTTTACTCTGTGCTTTGTTATTTCAACAGATGTATCTTTAATGTCAGCAGTGCTGCAAGAAAGAACTAGTGCCTGCAAACAATATGGAATGGGGGTTTTTTTGGATTAAAGTTTTGGGGAGCTATAGATGGATGGTGTGAAAACAATTGTGGAATTATTTTTTTTTCTTTAAACAAGAAATAATCCTTACCAAATAAGCTAAAACAAAATTAATTATAAAATAATGGTTTCAAGTTTTAATTCATTGTATTGGGAAAGCTATGTATTATTTGGTTTCTGTTGTAATTAAACTACTGAAGCCATTAGTTAATTCTTTAGTAATCTTCAAGGACATTTGGCCAAAATTGGTATAGTAATGCGGCATGTCTAACTTATGAATGAGAGAATTTATCCATAAATGCTGTAATGAATGATGAAAGAGAGAGGCATATATTAAAAAGCTGCAGGCAATTTACAGTTCCGGTACTGAATAGATGTTGTTTGACTGAGAAGATGAGCAATTAAAAAAAATTTGATTCAATTCCAGATTCCACCAGCACCACCCAGGCCTGACTTTGATGCCTCAAGGGAAAAATTGCAGAAGCTTGGAGAAGGGGAAGGATCAATGACTAAAGAGGAATTCACCAAGATGAAACAAGAACTGGAGGCGTATGTAGACTTGATTACCTTTTTTTTTTTTTTTCCTTTAATCCCTCAACTTTTAATGCTGTTTGCTGTCCCATGTTTCTGATTTCACTGTAATGGTTCTCCGTGAGATGTAGGCTTAAGAATTCAGTTGATACATAACCAGGGTTATCCTAGTCATCATGATCAGAGCCATTAGGAAAATTGTAGAAATAATTTCATGGAAGACCTTCTGAAACAGGGGAAAAAAATCAGCTTGTTCTTGAACGTTCTTTTATAAGGAAAAAACTAGTTAGATCCTTTTCTTCACAGAACACCTGTGAAGGGTGGAGGTTAATCTCTATCTTTTTTCATTCTGGTGTTCCACATTTTATAAGCATACTGAAACTTTAATGTTTATACATCTAGTGTTTGAACTAGGGATTTTTGCATGTGGTTGGTACTGTAAACATATACGCCAACCTTCTGTTCCTCAGGAAATATGGAGATTATTAGAAAATACCTTTTTGACACTTTTTTTTTTTCACAAGGAGAATATACTTCCTGAAAATAGTATTTTCCCTTACTTTGAATTCAATGTGTATTGAAATATCTACTCTAAGACTTTTTGTTCCATATTGAGTTATACAGTGAAGTTTCTCCTTGCTTCATCCACTTTCCTTATCATGCATTCACTTCTTTGATCTTTTTCCTGTCATTGGTTTCAGTTTTCAAGTGTATATTTACGCTGCTTCTAGACTGCTTCTATCAAGAGCTCTGAATTGGCAAGAAAAGTACATAGAACTCTTAGAACTGCTGCTTTCTCTCCGAACTCCAGCTGCTGTGAGCAAATGTCTTAAAAAGCTCTGTATTAGTCTTATGTACAGCCGAATTTATAGCAGAATAGATATACACTTCATATGCAGAAAACTGGAAATTAGCAAAACACTATAGATTTTAAAGAATCTGTGGTTTTCCAGCGGCCCTGATCATGATTCTCTTGTGGTCTGGTTAGGGGTTGGATAACACAGAAAACTTTGGGTTTCTTCTACTGCCACCTCCATCCTCTGCATCCTCCTTTTTTGTCTTCACTGAATGACTACTACTCTCACTGAGATCAAACATCTCCCAACACTGGCCCTGCTGGTTTGCTGGTATGTAAATCTTAACCTCCTTGCACATAGTGGAAGCAAAAGTGTTGATTATTATTTCACCGTTTGACCTCAGAATGGGGAAAAGAGCCCCTTCGTCATTTCTAGACAAGTTACATCTTATTCATTGAATTTGCGAAGCAAAATGGATTCTAGCAAACGTGTATTGATAAGAATGCCTTCCTCTTAATTAAATCACAAATGAGTAATTACTTTAAAGTTGAGTTGGCTGAACTGGGCAACTATGTGATTGTCATGGTTAAATGTGATTTTTTTTTTTTCGGTTCTACGTACCAAATGCAGCACTTAATTTCACTTTTAGAACCACTATGACGCAAGACATCCACATAAGCTTCAGCCCAAAAAGGCTAGGTGCTTTAACATGGAATAAAAGACTGCTATCTAAAGAGCTAACAAAATTACATAAACGCTTGAATGAGTAAGGAGGGTGCAAATAGGCAAGGGGATGGAGATGGGGAGGAAGGAATTTGCACATCCTCTACATAGTGCTTAATAACTGTAGTCTGTATCTCTATTTCTTGATTTTTGGGGAGTTGGGGAAAGGACAATTGAATGAGGCTACACTTTCACTGTGTTAATTAGCCTTAAAAATGAGAGTGTATTTGTTGAGTCTTCATTAAAAGTCTCTCCATAATATGTTAGGGCTTCAAATTTCCCCCTAGTATTAACATTGTGCTATTTATTTATGTATATGTCAAATATTGCAGTGAAAATCTCTACTAGGGCAGCTATAATTTTGTATCCTTACTGAGGATCTCTTAAAGCTGCTCAATAGGATTATCTCAAACTTAATTGCTCCTAATTGCTTCATGTCAAATTCTTATGTCTGTCTTGTTTCTTGTTTTCAGTGAATATTTGGCAATATTCAAGAAGACAGTTGCAATGCATGAAGTGTTTTTGTGTCGCGTGGCAGCACATCCTATTTTGAGAAAGGATTTAAATTTCCATGTATTCTTGGAATATAATCAGGATGTGAGTATTGAAAACTGAATTGCTGGCAAGAGAAATCAAGATGTACTTTTATGGTAGGATGGAAATTTGATTAAGAGGGCTTTACCTCCTGGAGCAAATTGCATCAATTCCTTCATACCAGACATATTTGTATTGTAAAAGTTAGAAATTCATTTAGTCTGTAGGAGTTTATTTTGCTGCCACCTGGGGAGCTAAATGCACTATGTACTTTAGCCTCAGCATCAAAAATATTAATGGGAATACAATATGTTTTGCATTAAAAGATTAGCTTTTGGTGGTAATTTCACATGACATTATACTTGTCTGCTCTTTGATTGAATTTTTTTTTTTTGTGGGGAAGGATGATGCAATAAAGAACACTAATTCTTAGGATTTGGAACGGTAGTTTAAATTCTGTTGCTAACAAAACTAGAGGGGGTTTCTAATGAAATGTTCTAAGTAAAGCCTTTTTGCTAATAATGTAGGTGAAAATTTGCTTAATATTTTTCTACATACTAGTCTAATGTGGCTATCCACATGTTACATACTGAGTTGCTATCCAATTTTGAGTTAATGGAGAGGACTTTCTGGATTCGTAATAACTCTTTGGTGTTGGAGTTAGTGATTGTTCATATGATGCAAACAGTTTTCAGTTGCTTTTTAAAATTGCAGAAGTCAGCATTGAATGTTGAAGAAATCATTCCAAAGATTGGTTCAACTGAGTACATGCTTAACTTCAAAATATGTTACAGAGGATCCTCTTGTTGCTTGATGTAGAAATGCTTACTGGTTCAGGATCTCAGTTTACCTAAATTGGGCAACTATAGATGGACAGGAAGAGTGTAAGGAGGCTGAAAGGACCATTATCCTCAGTGCAGTGAGGGGTAAATGCTTCTGTTTTCTGAAAGTCAAATATCTGCCATTCTACACTTAAAAGAGCAAAACTTGGTTATATTAGGTTAAGTCCACAGCTATACTGTGTGTGATAAATACTATATTATTGATAACTGAAATGTACGCTCTGTACATTTGGTATTATCTATAGGTGCTAGAATATTGCTGATTTTTTTTTTCCTGGAATAGTACTTTAGGTGATAAAGAACAGTCTAGGAAATGAGGTAGTCTGTCATTCTGGGTGCATGGTGCCTTGTCCCCATTAATGCAGGGTATAAGACTAAGCAGAGAGCAGGAAAACTGGTTAAGGAGTAGCAAGTTGTGGTATCTAGTCCGTTGTTCTTTTTTGGGTGGGGTTTTTTGTTGTTTTGGTTTGTTGGATTGTTGGTTTGTGGGGTTTTTTTTAGCTTTTATTGCCTCCAGAAAATGAACTGACTTGATAAATGAACTTCTTTTTCAGTTGAGTGTTCGTGGGAAAAATAAGAAAGAGAAACTTGAAGACTTCTTTAAAAATATGGTTAAATCAGCAGATGGTGTCATTGTTTCAGGAGTAAAGGTGATTACTGCTTAACATACCAAGATTTAAAATGTATGTCGTCCCCTCTTTTTAATAAAGCAGAATTTTACATAGCTACAAAAGACAGATTTTTATAGTGATGTCTAACTTAAGAATTAGAGGCAGAGCATGGGAAGGAACCTGTGGCTCTGGATGCAAGATAACTGAGAGCTATCTGCTTCTGTGAAA